TTTAAGAATATTATATTCAAGAAAATTATAATTAGTTAGTCACATTATTCTTAATTTTAATATCTTATGCATAATAATAAAAAAATTATGTTTTAAATATTTAATTATAAATAAATATACAACTATAAAAAAAAATAATAATAATAATAATAATAATTTGTACTCCTACAAGTTTGAGGTCCTGTGCAATCACTCAACTCGTACACCTTTAGGGCCGCCTCTAGTCTAGATATGTTGGAACTTTAGGCTATCTTGATTCAGAATATTACCTCAATCTCCAATTAACTGACAGGAGCGACCTTACAGTTTTGGAGTCATTCTAATGGAGCTACCAATCTCGAAAAAAGCTATTATTTCAAAGAAGAAGAAAATATGAACCCGGTGGTTTAAATGAAGAAAAGTTGATGGATATTATTGATCCAATGCTTAAAGAAGGGGCTAGTAAAGTCGAGTTGGAGACGATGAGAGCGATTGGGAATCTGGCAACAGCATGTTTGAATGAACGAACAAAGGCAGAATCACCTTCTATGCAAGAAGTGGCTGAAGAAATTGAATATGTCATCAGTATAGTTACAGGAGAAGCTTCAAAGACAAAAAAGCTACACGTCAGCCCAGTACGTTGACAAAGGGAAACGTACAGGTGGCCATGTACATGCAGGAACGTTCCTTCAAAGATATAGATCCCAAATTACCAATCATTATGGTTCGTTGAGCCCCAAGACAAGCTTGTTCTTGTGGCCATAGCTGATTAATGGATTAGACACTGTAATCATTGATCAGAGCAAAATGTATCAGAAAATCATAACATGTCAATTTGATTATGTGCAAATATCATAGCTAGTCAGCGCACTGAATACTGTCAATTTAATCATGTGCAAATTCAATACTTTTAAGTGCAAATACATCAACTCTTCTACAAGACAAGTGGAAACTTAATCGAGCTCCATTAGACCAGAGAAACCCAACATATCAAAGTGAAAAAAGAACCATAAATGAAAAGGAAAATTGACCATTTCAAGGAGAAATAAGTTAAAACAGCAATAGTTAGATTTACATGTGAAGGTGTGGAATATGTCAAAGGCACAAAAGGAAACCTAATCTTGAATAATTTAAATAGACGCCAGGATCCAGAACGTCACGTGAGACGACATTGCGACTAGGAACCAAGTCGCAAATGCCAGAGATATGGAGAGCTCAAATCTGTCACATGGGAGATGTACTGGACCCGTACAAAATTTCAAGTCTCTCCCGTACAAAACTGCAATTCCTGCTGAAGAGCACGCAGCTGCAAGTGATAAGGTAGCTGTTACCTGCATTTGATCTGATATTATTCACTGAACTGAGGTGGAAAATAATGGATTTAAGGAGTAAAAGCATGATAAAGGCGAACTTTAATAAACATTACTACTTAGCCCCTCGTCTCCTAATGAAAATATATATAATAAACCATAACTATATACTGCAACAAAATTTAAATAAAGAAATGACTTATAAATCATCTGAAGTCATGGCCCACATGCAGATTTTGCACTGCATCATCCTCTCTGAAATGAGGAAGATTTGTCCTTGAATCTTGTGCCATATCTTCTTCCAATGCCTCTTAATCGATGCGCTCCACTTCGAAAGTCCATGGGAATAATAAGTAAACTCATTGTGACCGATGCTGAAGAATTTGCTAAAATTGCTCTCTTGATTTCATTATATGATCTTTAAATCTCAAACCTAATCAAGCCACGTAAAGGAAGGCACTCATCGTTAGCATTACAAGACTTCAAATTGGAACTTATTGATGACACATTCACATCACGAATGTTGACATCATCTTGGCTGAGATGTGAAATAGAGTCGAAGCCACGATAATTGAAAAAAGCTTCCCAATCTTTGCAAACACAGTAAACTTATTGGCCTCATACTTGTAATAGAAATAAGATTAAACATAGAAAATTTTCAATTTTAAGACAAATCTCATGATTTCAAGCTGCCAGATTCCAATCACATAAAATGCAGTTTTTGGCTTCTTTATATAAGCACTGCTCTCCATAAACAACTCAGAAGACATACCATTCTTCTCCTCATAAAAATAAGGCTCCAGATAAAAAGTCGTTAGATCGTTATTACTTCACTTAAATCAACATCCATTTGTAGCTCAAGATTGAAAGGGACAAAATGATGGTCATTGTCATTAGAGTCCTCCATTATGACCGATTCCATACTGGTTGTCGTGCTGCTCGTGCCCAAACTTTTATTGTACCAATCCCTATTGTTGCCTCTCTAATGCCGACAGCCTCCAATGGCACCCAACAATACCCTATGATGGGCTTTCAACGTATCCATTTTCTGAATGGATCGGCTCATAGTAAATTTGTCCCATGTCCTCTTGATATTTAATCTCATCTAAGAAACCCATCTCTATTAGAAATGCAGCAGTGCTCTGATACCAACTCAGGGCTAAGATGGGGATGGGGAGAGACAAGGCGAGGTGGAGTAAAACACTTTCATGGTCCAGCCTCATAGTTGTCCTCGTTGTTGATTAGTTTTTACCATCCACAAGTGAGCAAAAACAATAACACTATCACTATATTATTTTTTATCAAAATCAAAGTGTCAAATATACTCAATGGAACTCAATAAAACTTGATACCTCTCGATGGAAGAGGTTCTCTCATTATATAGAACCAAAATCACAACTAAATATGGTAGCTATAAATTACAATATTTATTAATAGTAACATATTATATTTTATAGCTTTCCTTATATATTACTGACGTCCCCCTCAAATTAATACGGGTAAAAAATCAATTTGCAATCATGAACTGCCAGTAATGCACGTGCCCACAAAGAAGAGACTCAAATCACAGCAACCATCTACGAAAAATAGTGACGACGAGAGACTCAAGAACAACAAATAGTGCAAAAGACAGTCAAGAACTATTCCAAATCACTCCAAAAACATTCCAAAGCTACTCCAGAAAGCTCACACTCTAAGAATTTCCAAAAAAAAAAATTTCACAAAGTGTGACGACTACACACAGTGAGCTCTATTAGTCCGGAGAATTCACTCCAAAAACACTCTAAAGCCAATCCAGTAATATATCATTGGCCAAGATGCTACAGTTGGAAGAAATTCTATCGAATAGCCTATACTAAAAACTCAAAGACGATCCTCCTCTAAGAATTCAAAACTCTAGCTTATCATCTAAAAGCCAAAACCACAACAACAAACATTTTCACAACTACCAAGAAAATCCCTTTGGTATCCACCCTTCTTAAGACAACTTCTCACATCTTCTCACATCTTCTCCACCATTTGCGCTAGTTGACTCTGGAGTGAAAAACCAAATATTCAGAAAAAAATATCCCAGAATTATGCAGTCTCCAAAAAAAATTCAATAATCAGTAGAATTATGCAGCTCAATATTCAGCCTCAATCACTAATCTTTTAGAATTTTAAATAAAGTAGCCCAACACTTCAACCTAATAATCAACCCATAAAACTGTAGCCCAATGATCTATCCAATACACTAATAAAGTGGCTCATAGTGAGAACAAATTGTAGGATTAAATTAGTGTAGTGGATGAAATTGAATTCACACATACCATAAATGTAAGTTTGATAATAGATTTACGCATACCGTATATGCAACTTACCGTATTTACAAGCAGTTTACCGTATTTGCACCTTACCGTATTCACTGCTCACCGTATATGCACTTTACCGTATTTATACATATTGATTTTACCCATTTCATATCAACAGTGAAGTTAGATATCGTACATGCAACTAACAAATATCAAAATTGCATTTACCAAACTGAGTATTAGCAAAAAAAATTCAGATCGATCTGATTTTATTCAAAACATAAATAGAACGACAAAATAATTGAACTGCAAATTATTTGAATCACACGAATAAATTGCAGAAATATGCAAACAATGAAGATAAAATCGTAGGAAATAAACAAATAACGGATGAACATTCAACCCGAGACCTGTGCGAGCACAGTTTCTTTAAAACAAATTCGTCCCCTCACTATAAGTGCTTGAGATTTAATCCAAGCGTCTGTTTCCCATGATACAATAGTAAACCAGTAAAATCTGAGCACTGCAGAAACTACTCCGACTGTTGGGTTTTTGATACCCAATAAATCCCGTGCTATGATGTTAACGTGGGTTAATATTATTTCATAGGCATAGGCCGATGAATGAAATAAGTCCAACAACCAAGTCCATGAGCTACACCCGGCCCAATTGTATTCCTTATGGATGGCTTGAATCTTGACCCGTTTACCCCTTTATTGGCCAAACTTAAAGCCCAACCCTAGAGTATATATTTGGCTATAACCCTAACCACTTTCATATGATGAGTGTGTGATTTTGAGAGAAGAAATAGTGAATCCCGGCTGCCCCCTTTTTGTGTGAGAAAAAGGTGTCCAGAAGTGTCCAGAACGCTTATATAACGTGTGCAATTGGTGGTTCTTTCATAGTATACCTTTGTGGTATCTTCTCCTATCCTTTGTGGCCATAAATCATCATCCTTTCTTGTCCTACGTGGGTAAGATTGCATAGCAACCAAGGTGAATCAATTGGTTGTGGTTTGGAGCCAATTGGACTGGTTGTTGGTTGAGAAAGGTGCGTTGGACTGAGCTTGGAAAACCACGGTTTGAAGATCCTTTTAAGAGAGCTTCCGCAACAATTGGTATCAGAGCTTCAAGGTGAAGGTTTTGGCTCGTGAAATCTACCAGAAATCGTCCAGAAAATCGGCAGAAACGCTGCAGAAATCAGATCGAAGAAGCTGTCCAAAAATTGTTAAAATCAGTCGCCGTTTTTCGCATTTTCTGATCAATCCAGAAAAAGTCTGGAGAAACGGAGACCACTAGCGTGATGTGCAGGAGGAGGCGAACCCTGCAGGCCGGCGCGTCAGTTGACGGCGGCGCGTGTGGTGGCGCGTGAGGACCACGCACAAAGGGAGAAACGGCCCGTGCGGGCGCGTGACGGATTTTCTGGCGACAGTCCTTTCAGGCAGTTTGTTCCTTATATTATTTCTGACATTTTCCGTGCTGAAAGTTTTCTGTTTCAGGGTACGCAGAAGAATCTGGACAGCGTTGTTCTTCGGGCGTTTGGGACTCGATCGTGATTTTTTGGGTTGCTGCAGTTTCCAGAGACTTTAGGACGAATAGTGGTGGTCCTAAAGTGATAAATTCGCAACTCTCATAATCTACGGACTCAGATAGGTCCGCTTTGGTATATTGGCTTAACTTAGTTTAAATTTCAGTATTAGCAGATCATCGTGTGGGGTGATCGTTAGGATTGGGGGTTGTCATTGCTTGGCAACCATTGCTTGTGCTAGAAAATTTAGAAATTATTTGCTCTGTTTTTTTGAAGTGTTGAGTTTTGATTGCAAGTTGGTAGTTGATTTTGTGCTTTACCTGTCATATAGTCACTGTGTGAGACTTGTTGCGTGGAAATTCGAACTTTTGTTTACATACCTTCGTGTTGCATTGATTTTCCTGTTAGAACACCTGGACTTGACCTGTTCGAACATTCCCTTGATCTAAGATCGTGAATCTTACGAAACCCTGGGAATCTAGAACGGTGTATATTGCGGCCATAGGATAACTTTGTGTGACCTATCTGTACTTTTGGTTGTTCTAGTTTTTTAAAAATGTCTTCACGCTTTGAAGTTGGAATTTTTAATGCGAAGGGGATTTTTCAATTTGGCAACAAAAGATGAAGGGTATTTTGGTCCAACAAAAAGTTTCAAAAGCCATAGATGGCAAATTTCCTGCAAATTTAACAGAAGTACAAAAAGAAGAGTATGATGAACTTGCATACACTTCAATTATTTTACACCTGTCTGATACTGTTTTGAGAAAAATAGGAAAACTGGATTCTACAAAATAACTTTGGAAAAAGTTGGAGGATTTATATTTGCTTAAGTCGACTCCTAATAAATTGTACTTGCTTGAACGATTTTTCAGCTTTAAAATGGATCCTTCAAAGGATTTTGATGATAATTTGGATGTCTTTAACAAATTAGTTCAAGACATCGTTAACTGTGATGAAGAGGTATCTGAAACGTATAAGGCTATTATCCTGCTTAATTCCATGCCTGATTCATATAGGGAAGTTAAGAATGCAATTAAGTATGGTAGGGACACCTCAACACCCGAGATTGTCATAGACTCACTTAAGAGTAAGGAGATGGAGATTAAAGCTGAAAAAGAGAATAAGAAGAGTGGCAACTTACATATGATGAGGAGTGGGATGAAGTTTAAGCAAATGAATTTAAGTAGAACTCAAGACGGTAGT